TTTTTTAAGTCATTTATATTTTGATAGAAATTACTATGGCTCTGTGAATCACTTTGACTGGTATTGACTTTCTAACAATATTAAGTCTTCCATTGCTATAGGCCTGAGATGGGAAGCTTGATTGGCCACTAATCCTATCTTGGTAACTTCTGCCTCGGTTTTGATTGACTCACAAGACAGTGTGCCTCTTGTCATTTGAGGATTGAAATCTTCAGCTATGCTTTTAGCACCACCAACTCCTGAAAGGAATGGAGCAGCCCCGCCTTCATTTTCCCAGTGAACAAATGCATACATGCACAGAAGAAATTCTGCTTGTCCATTTTCCAATGTCTCTCAGAGTCACAGATGACCTATTTATTTGTTTTTTATTTTTGTTCTTATAGTGGTAGTTTTATAGTCTTATGGTAAGGTTTTCCCCATGATTTTTTTTATATGAAACTTCATAGAGTTTCAATGTTCTGTATTTTTAATAAAATCATTATTGGGAGTGTCTTGATTACTTTCTCATAGTTAAGACAAAAATCTTTGACATCTAGAATTTAAAGGAGGAGACGTTTCTTTTGGCTTATGTTTTCAGTCCATAGTTGGCCAGCTCCAATGAAGAGCATGACAGAATGGCCCACTGGTGAAAATCCTCATCATGGTGGGCCAGGAAGCAAAAGAGGAGAAAGGAACCATGGAGGAAGCTATGCCCTTCCAAGTCATGCCCCTAGAGACCTGCCTCCCACCATCCCCACCCTTTTATAACAAGTTAGCTATTAATGCATCAGTAGCTTAATCTGCTGATGAGTATAACATCTCCAGCATCCAATCATCTTCCAAAAGCCTCACCTCTGAATACATGAGGGTTTTGTGAGCAGTCTAGATTTAAACCATAGCAGAGAGTTAAGTTTGGGTGTAGGTGTGTTTAATGTCAGGTTTAAACTTGTCAAAAGAATAACAGAGAAGGTCAATCAGAAGTCTTGTCGAATGACTGAGAAACATCTTCCTGTGATGAGACATGACCTCCTTCCAGAGTGCAGTTTCCACTTGTTGTGCCATTGCCCTCCGTCTAATACCCCCTCTGTGTGTATACTACGTCCTCTAATAGACTGTGATCTTCCCGAATGCTCCTGAGTCACTTTGACCATGAAATTCAACGAAATTTAATTTAGTGAAATTTTATTCTTCAAGGGAGTTAAGTAATTCAAAATTCAAAATTTGCAAAAGGACACACAATGAAAACAGTGAAAAGTTGTCCTTTGCCCTGTCTAATGCTAGCCAGGTTGTATCCAATATCTTGCCACTTGTATCCAATTTTACAAGTTTCTTATCTTCCCAGACATCCTTTATGCTTATGTAAGGCATTTGCAGATAATTTTTTTCTACTTATTTCTTCTCTCTTCCATTTGCCATTGTATCTTGGTAATTATTCTCTATCAGATATTGTTTTCTTATCAATTTTTATAGCTGTGTAAATTTCCATTGACTGGATAAATTATAATTTATTTAACCAGTTTCTTCTTGTTAGACATTATTTCCAATTTTTTGCATTTACAAGTAATGCTACAAATAATGTCTTCTATAATTTTTCTTACATATTCACGTATCTGTAGAATAAATTCCTAGAAATAGATTTTCTAGTCAAAGGGTTGGTGCATTTGTAATTTCGAGAGTTCTTCCAAACTTGCTATCATAACAATGTGCGTGAGTGCCTGTTTTCTTACATGCTCATCAGGGTGTATAATCAGTTTTTTTTCTATAGCTAATATAAATTTAAAAATGGTGTCAGAATTTTACTTTGCATATACTTTTTATGAGCAAATGGTATAAAGTTTTAGAGTCATTTGAATTTTCTACTCAGTGGCGGAACCTTTAAAAGGTAGAGCCTAATGGGAGGAAGTGAGGTCACTAGGGTGGAAGTGATCTTAAAGGAGCCATTGGCAACTGGGCCCTTTCCTCTCTTTCTTTGTTTCTTTGCTGCCATGCTGCCCACCACAATACATTGGCCAACGTGAAACAAAAGCCTTAGAGCCAAAAGACCATAGACTGAAACTTCTGAAGATATAAAGCAAAATAAACCTTTCCTCCTTATAAGTTTATTATCTCAGGTATTTTGTTGCAGTAGTAGAAATCTGACTAATGCATGATGAAGTTCTTCTTTCCCATTTTCTTTTTGACTGTGCTCTTATGGTTTCACTATGTTGAAATCTCCAACTTTTATATGGTAAAATGTATTTCTTTTCTGACTTAAAAAAGCCTTCTTTATTTCAAGATTATTTAAAAATCATTTAATTCATTCTAATACTTTGTTATTTAGAAGGAGTTAATGGGATCCAAAAGCAAAACAGTTAATGTAGGAGTGAAGGGGAAGAAACACCTGAGAGGGACAGGTGGAAATTACCTTAATCTCTAATTGTTTTGCCTTGAACTCTTGCATTGTTTACACAATTTTGTTAGGTTTGACTTTGTTCTGTCTTGTTAGAATTTATGCTATCACATGGTAGGGGTGGCTATTTTGAATATAATGGGATATTATGATAATCATGGTTTCTTATTACCTTGATTTTTAAGTCTTATAATGCTTTCATTCATTTGTTTGATTGGTTCTATTCTTTTTTGTTTGATTTTATTGTGTGTGATGGTATGAACAGCTACTTTGAAGAAAATAAGACATTATGGCAGCCATTGCTGATTTCCTATCATCTTATGTGGAAGTCCTATCATGCTTTTTTTCTTCCATTTGATTGGTTCTATCCTGTTGTGTTTTATTTGATTTTATTATGTGTGATGGTATAGACCACTTTTTTGAGGAAAATGGGATATTATATAGGCATTGTTCATTTCCTGTTATTTGATTTTGAAGTCCTGGAATGCTTTCATTCTTTTAAATGGTTTTATACTGTATTGTTGTATTTGATATTATTGTGTGTGAAGGTATGCTCAAATATTTTGAAGAAACGAGACATTATGGTAGCTTCTGTTGATGTCCTGTTATGTTGCTGTAAAGTACTGTGTTGCTTGCATTGTTCTGTTCTGATTTGCTTTGCTCTGTTCTCTTTTGTTTTATTCTCTTTAACATAAAAAATAAAAAACGAATGCTTTGTTATTTTATCCCTTGCATTTAAGAATTATTTTTTCCCAATAGCTACCCAGTGGTCCCAACACTATTTATTAAATGACCCATCTTTCTCTTATGGATTTAAAATCCTTCATTACATGAAAATATTTCCATTTGTACTGGGATCTATTTCCAATTTTCTATTTTCCTGGATTAGTCTATTTCTGTGTTATAACCTTTATTTTAACATTTTAACTTTATAATATATTTTAGTACCTGAAAGGGTTTATTTCCCTTTCATTACTCTTGTTTGCAGAAACTTTCTAGCTACTTCTTGCTATGAATTTTAGAATCGCCTTGCCATGTTCCCACAAAACCCAATTGATATTGTTATTGGAATTATATTAAGAAAGCAGTTTAGGAAGAGTTAATATCTGTATGCTGTTGCATCTGCTTATTCAAAGGAAGTATACTTCCCAATTTGTTTACATTTTCTTATTCCTTGCTTGGTAGTTTTTAAAGTTTTCTCACATAAACCATGCCTGTTTGTCATTAAGTTTATTCCTAGATCATTTCTCTTTTTTATTGCTACTATTAAAATAAGGTGGGGCTTTTTTGCATTATGCCTTTGAGCCATCTGTTCTTAGTATTCCAATGTTTACAAATAAGTAGACTCACCCCAGATCTCAGCATGGGTGAATAACCCAGTGGAGTTTGACCGCAGGTCTTCTCATTATGCCCACTACACTAACTTAGGCATAGAAGCCACTCACTTTTAAAGTGAGTGTTGGTAGCAGTACCTGTGATTGCTGTAACAGGTTTGTGCCTGAGCTTAAAGGAATTCCAGGACAGGTTCTAATCTACTCAAAGATCTCATGAGGAGAACGGTACAAACCTATCAAGGAGCCAACTAGAATTTACAGGTCCAAGAGGAAAAACAGACTGTGTGCTTCCACGTCCTCTGTTATACCGATTCTCTTTTATGCAAGCAGCTTCAGAACACGAGGGAGGCCTTTCTCCACTTGAACTAGAAGTGGTGTCTTGTGGCCTGGAACTTAACTTTCTAATTGGTGATACTATTATACTCACCCCTTGCTGAATCTTTCCAAGAGACTGAAATAACAGAGCTTGTTTTTATTTTATACAACTTTTAAAAAATACTGCATTCTGCTGTACACCATAGAATATGCAAAAAAGAGTGCTTTGGTAAAGTGGTTTAGTACATTTAATTTTATTTAAAAATGACTGAGACAGCTTTTATTGACTAAGGTCTTGGATTCTTTCAGGAAATCAAGAATGGAAAGACAGGCGATCAGTCAATGCTATCTGGGACCTGCAGAGGGAGCTCAGGGCTTTTTGTTTTTCTAAAACATCTCGGGTCCATCTGTTAATGTGGGAAAGTTTAGGACCATACCATCAACACACCGTGGCTTACCAACTCTGTATTTTTAGAGTCAAGGTCATAGTTCCTTTCTCTATAGCCCTGCCATTTAATGAATTACCACTCTGCGAGAGAGGGTTCAGCACACAGGTAGTCTAGTTCAGTGCACTCCACAGTACTTCTGAAAGTCTCTGAAACATCGTCCTTGGGGAGATCGGCCACAAGAAATCTCCAGGCTTACCGAAAATTCTACATCCTTGAGGTCCACAGGAGGAGCCTTTTTGCCTATATTTTCCATGACAATCTGCCATGTCTTTTTAAATTAGTTTTTTAAAATAGTAAATGCCAGTGTAGGCAATTTTGAAAATGGAAAACACATTCAAGAAAGAAAAAAATATTCCTTATGGTCCCCAACCTAGAACTAACCACTGTTCATGGCTTGCCTTCCAATCTCTTTACAGAGAAAGTGTAAAGTTTAAGACTGTGAATTTCTCATGAAAAATCAAGAGCGTTTTCCCACTGACATCCATGCCAAGACAACTTCCTGAGCTGGACAGGGGTCAGGGAAGGAGTGGCCTGGGATACATAGTAGGTTCTGTACTTGGAATTGAGTTTGGCTGAAAGTGAAAACCTCCTCCCTAGGTACCCTGAGTTTGTGGGTGCCCCGAGGTGCTGAATGACTCTCCCTGAGGCAGCTTGAGGCTCAGTTTCCCAGCCAGCCCTGCCTGCCACTCAAAGGTAAGCTCATGCTTGCTTCAGCGTTTACATGAGGGCAAAACCCAGCTTTGGTCACAGTTCTGAAATCTCCTGTGATGGCAGAAGTCACGTAGCTTCTCATGAAACAAACACTCCCTGGGAAATTACATCGGCGCGTCCCACTCGGTCTGTCCAGCAGCCTTGTTCCTGCTGCTTTTCTCGGAGGAGGTAAAGAGGGTGAATGGAGACTTTGGTGTGGAGTCTTGTTAATGCTTGTAAGGGAAAAATGTGGATTTTTTAAACGTCAAAGCTTCCACTTTCAGGATACTTTTTCACTAGAGAGATAGAAAAGAATGTGGTGCCTGAGTCCTCTGGTGAGACTTTGCATTTCCTGCACAGTTGTGAATCTGATGCTTACTGGTCATCTAATTTTGGGTGAAGGGACCCTTTACACCACTGAAATAAGATGGCAAAATCTGTTTTCCAGTGCCCATTAATTTCTTCATGTGGGAAGAAAAGTAGCAGCAGTCATAATGATTCCTGATCCAGTTAAATAGTGTAGGGAATTTTTATTTGTGGGGTGTAAAGCCACTTCTCTTTGTTATGTGAGAAATATAATATTAATCTTTTAATTAAAAATTCCTTTCACAAATTAAAAGAACTTCATAAATCTCTAAGGATCACAGAGAAAAACTTCTCAGAACATTAGGTTAGACCAGTGTAGGTGTATAAGAATGGGCTGTGTGCTTTTGAAATGAAATAAAAATGAAATATCGAAATAATAAACAAGCAGTAAATTTTTTTTAAAAATCCATAAGTATGGAACATAGGTTGAGGACAAGGGAAAATCATTTACAATTTTTTAATTTGAATTTCCTCAGATTCATTTTATTTCTTGATGACATGCATCCCTGGTTAATTAGATGAAGTCTCTCGGCATGTCAACAAATCAAAAGTGATGGAATTTCATAATAGATCAAAAGCTATTTAAGGGCACATTTTAATTTAAGGAGTACACTGATTGCAAAGTACTATGAGTGCTGTTGACCTATATATTGCTTTTGCAGGAGGTGCTGAGGAGATCCTAGATACGTCAAGGAAAGAAAACACAATGTGATCTCTCTGAAGCATCTCTGCAAGTTTGCAGCCAAAAATGCTGAGTTATTTCCTGAGGGTGCCGCTGAATCAAAGGGCTGTCAGCCTGCTTGAACTGAAGGCTTCGACCCAGGAGAGCTGAAATGAGAAATATTCTCCCAGCAGGAAAGTTCTCTAAACTTCGATGTGCGCGATGTGTCTTCCAATGGGACTCAGAGTTCCCTGATTAAAAAGCAAGTCACTGTGTAGGCAAGCAGTACCTCTGTGCTGGGGACTCGACTTCTGTAATGGGGAAGGATGCTCTGGACTGGAGCCTTAATTAAAGCCTGAGGAACTCAATGAAGACTAAATGAGTTGCAATAAGATAATTACTTGGGCATTCATTACATCCACCACGAGCTTGTGTATGGAGCAGGGAAGTATTATCCGCAGGAGCATAATTTTAAACTCTCACTAGAAGAAGAGATCACAGTTTATGTCACAGGCAACTTTATTATTGTGATCTTTGTTTAATAAATAAACAAAAGCATATAATGAAGAAGCAGATGTTTTTAAGTTGATGCCCTTGAACTCAGGGTTACTTGACCTAAACGCATGGTGTCTGTCACATGGCAGGCAGTCAATAAACATTTGTTGAATGGATTTACGAGTGACCATTGTCTTTCATTATGGATTGTACACCTGGTCCCATTTCCTCAGATGACATAAAGGAAATACCTATGTGACTGTAAATAATTAAGCATCTTCTTGGGTTGGAGCAAGAGAACAAAGACGGGAGCTGACACACGGCAGAGAGCTGCCTAGAGATGCATGTGGAGAGCCTTTGGGCGGAGAAGAAGAACGTGGCTGGCTTGGGTGCTGGGGAAGGGTGATGTCGGTAACAACAGAACCAGGAAGCCGCAGAAACAAAGACGCTTCCTACTGGGCAGGCAGATGATCCTCCCTGCCCATCTAAACAAGTCAGCCACTCCGGGTTTTAGTAAGGTGTAATTGACAGTCAAAATTGTATTTTAATGATGCTTGGCAGTGAGCACGCTCATGCTAACTGATTAAAGCCAGCCAGCCAGTGAACACATCCATTAGCTCTCATGCTTAGCTTTCATGTGTTGTGGGAACATCTCAGGTTTCTAAGAAAATTTCAAGTCTACACTGTTTCCATGTTGGACAGTAGATTTCCTCGTGAACCATGGAAACTGTGTACCCTCTAACATCTCCTTGTCCCCTTCCCCACTGCCTTCCCGCAGCTGACCCTGACACCTGCCCCGACTCACCTGGCAGCGCTGGGTCCATTCCTTTTGAAGTTACATGGTCTCCGTTTGATATTGCGTGAGTGATACGTGTTCCTTTGTAGAAATACGAAAGGTAAAACACAGGAAGGCTTTCCTCCGACCCTAGTAATATATGACGTTCCTCTACTCTTTTTCTTATGCCCAGATATACCTAGATGCAGATACAATTGTTATGCTAGCATGTGTTTTTATAATACAAGAAATTTTGATACGTTGTTCATATTTTTAGTGTTATTAAAACAGAATATCCCCCAGAACATGGTTATTATGGCTGTTTAATCTAACAATTTATGTGTGATGGGTTCTGGGTTCCAAAGCCAATTAGGTTTTTTATTTTATTGCTATCTAATTTTATGCAAATTACTGAATTTGGTTCGCCTAAACTGTCTTCTCTGTAAAAGGAAGAGGATAATAGTATAACCTCACTGGGTGTGGTAGTGCGTACTTGTAATCCCAGCTGGTCCAGAAACTGAGGCAGGAAGATCACAAGTGCTGACCTGGAATGTCTCAAAAAGGTCAGGAATACAGCTCAGGGATATACGAAACCTTATATAGTAATAAAGGAGATTTAATGTTACTCAGAGGGTGTTTAGAACCATGCTGCCTGACACACAGTAAACTCAACAAATATCTCTTATTTGCATTCTTACTAGTAGTAGTAGCTTTAATAATTTAAGAAAGTCTTAAGTTTTAGGTTGTTAGAGATATCAGTTCTTTTATATTATAAATAATTCTTTAAAACATTTCCTAGATGCTTTTGCACACATATCTGATCATTTTCTCAGAGTGTGTACATCTTTTAAAGAATTTTGATTTATTTTGCAAACAGTAGATTTGTATCAATTAATTCTGGTAAGTCAGTGTTTTAAAAAAATGTCAGTGTGCTTCCCTTAGCACTAAGCATTGCCATTTAAAAGCCCTGTGGAAGTTCATTTTATTTGTTTCTTTATTATTACTTCTGGGTCCTGAGCCCATGGCCTTGCACATGCTGGACGACCGCTCGGCCAGTGAGCTCCACAAGGTCCCTCACTGATTTTTAGTTAGTAGTGAGGCTGAGAATTCTTTCCATATTTATTTTCAGTTGCAGTCAATCTTTGGTAGGTTGCCTCCTTTTTCATAAACTGAATTATTGAATTAAGTCTATAACAGATAAATTTAGTCCACTTAAGGATTAATTATTATATTTTTATGTCTGCCATCTTAGTTCATAATTTCTATTTATGGCATGTATTTACATATGGATCTCAATTTCTTTCCTTATTTTGTTCTCTCCTGGGGACTGAACCTGGGTCTTCAGCTTGAGCTACTTTCCAGCCTTTTTCTTTTGTATTCTGAGACAAGGTCACGCTGGCATTAGGTTGACCAAGCTGAGCGGGGATTTGCAATTCTTCCGCCCCATCCTCTCAGAGTGTTAGGGTCACCGGCGTGCTCCACTGTGCCCCACTAAAGGAGTTCTTTTCTGGTTTTATTGCAGCTACATTGGAAGTTTAAATCCTATTTCTATTCTTTTAATGAGGATTTTCTGATCTTCAACTTCGTGCTTAGGTTAATAAAATCTGTGCTCAGTCTCTGTCTTCCTCTTGCGTGACCCACAGGCTCCGGTACGCTTTGCCTTCTGTCCCTTCTCACTACGTTCACTCAAACATGCGATCGTTATCCGGTAATACTTCTTTTTAAATTTCCTATCAGTTTTCATGGAGCTGACGCTGATGCCGGTTTCTCTGAATGCTTATCTCTCACACTGCTTGCCATTGGTTCTGGGGTCATTTTTGTCTCCTCTGAGTTAAGTTGCTTCTTCCTGAGAAAATCCTCTAGATGGTCCACTAGTGATAGTTAATGGGCTAATGCTGGTAATTTGGGGTTTTTGGAAGTAGTGTAATTTTTCTTCAGTTTAAATAATAACATCAATGAATGTGAAAATCTATATTGAAAGCTGTATTTTTTCATACTTAGAAGATACTATTCCACTGTCTTTTGCTTTGCATTGTTGCTGTTAGAGTATATCAACTATTAGTCTAAAGGAGGAGTTCTCGGTTTGGTTTTTGGTCTTCTCTTTGTCTTGTGTCTTGCATTTGTACCACAATAGTGCAGGTACAGACTTTTAAAGTTCATTTTACATAGAGCGTGTTAATGCTTCCTACATCCACATACTCATGTCTTTGATAATTTCTAGAAGGTTTTCAGCCATTCTACGAACCTGGTTCTCCTCAGTTTTGAAATTCTGTTTTCTAAACTTCTCTTAGATGTACTTGATTATTTTAATTCTAATCAAACGCCCTGCACTTCTCTTTGGTGTATTCCACGTTGTGATCTTTGTGTTGCATGTTGTATAATTTCCTTACAGTTCCTTTTCAGTTCACTGATTCTTTAATCAGCTCTGTCTAATCAGGTAAACCCTGGACATTGAGTTTTTAATTTCCATTATACAATAGACTTTTATTTCTAAAGTTTTATGTATTTTTAATTTTTGTCTTATTTCAGTTTGATAATGAATTATTTTCATATGTTTGTTGGATATCTTTTTCTGACATTATTTATGCCAAATATTTTTATTTTATAACTTATGAGATTATCTAATCTTCTACAGTTCTTGGATTTAACACTATCGTTTATCATATTTGCTGGCTGTTAATCATAGTGGACTCTTTCCTCAGCACGTTTAGAGTTTTGATTTTGGACATGTCTTTATAAAAATCTTATGCTATCTTAGCTCAGTGTTCTGGGGGTTTTATTGGCTGGAGCAATTTTCATATTCTTTTCTTAAATTATAGCTTTCTGAACTATGTGGATGGCAGAAATTTTGAACCCAAAGTTGTACTGAAGTGCAGTCATAGTTTCCAGAAGGGATATTTTACATTGAATCCTAGTTCAGGGAGCAACACGTATGCTTTGTTGTCCGGCTTCAAGGATGGTGCATAAGTATTTACCTAATCTGCACCGTGAGTGCTGCTGTTTAAGGACCTCTTCTTGCTGTGGGTGTCCTGATTCCCCTTATTTATATGGAATCAAATCTCTGCCTCTGGTCTTAGGGCTTCTTTTAAAAACCTAAGCCTCAAGACTGTTGGCACTGGGTGTAGTTCCTAGGGCTCAGTGTAACTGAGTGAGAGTATTTGCCTAGCAAGAGCAGGTTCTGGGGTCAGGCCAGTGCTCATTTGCTCACTGGCTCTGGGTTTTGGTTTACACTTTATTTTTGGTTTCTGGAATTTCCCTTACTTTTCTTTAAGCTGTATTTAAAACCATACTTATCCTACTTTATCTCATATTTCCAGATGTCTATAATACTTTGACTTTCAAATCTTTTCTTTAGGAAGGAAAGTTTCCCAATTTTATTAATTGTAGCTGAACGAATTTTTCCAACAGGATCTCACTGGAGCTAAAGAACCACCTGTGCCTTCTCTTGAGAGATGCAAAGGCCCAGATTCACGCCGTCTCCCTGTGTTCTTGCCTTGCACAGAGTGCCCAACTCTCCAGACAGCTGGGAAGTGTAGAGGCTTAGGGTGAAGGGGAGGGAGCAGCTCAGGATGTACTGTTCACAGATTCCACGTGGTGCTGCTGAGGAACCAAGGACAGGCAACAGCAATGACACAGATTTATTTCAGCTCTGGTGATTAGAATTGAGACCCATTCCTCTGCAAACAAAGGTTTCAGGAGGAAACATTACAGATCCTAGGTGGCTCTTGGCCTGGGACAGGGAAGCTAGCCTCAGCTGCCCTGTGTAGTACACTGGCTGGAGACACAGGTCTGGAACACCCACTCTTCTGTAATCAAAAGCTGCTGGAGGAAAAGTTCACACCAGTTCTGGCTCTGAATTTGAGTCTGAAGTGTCTTAAATGAGGATCTGTCATATAATATTGTGACATTTTTTGCAAACAATGACTATTCTAACTTGTATAACTACAAACTGCCTTTGTGCTCATCTTGTAAGGGCAGTAAGGCAAACAGTATCAGAAAAGATTGTATGTAAATGAGTTACAATATTTGCAGTTTTGAGTGTGTTGCCTTCCTTACTTCCTGTGTTCTAGAGAAATGCTAGGTAAGTGATTAATACTAAATGGAAGTGAAATGGAAGGCAGTGTTAAATATAAAAAAGCACTTTTAGAAAGAAAGTCTAGACCTGTAGATCTCTACTTCAGGGTATCTAATCAAATCTAGAGGTGGGAAGTGTTTTATTAATGCTATTGGGTGTGTTATGGTTTGTGTCTGGATTCCCCCCCCCCCCCCCCCGCCGTCTCCCATGAAACCTCTTGTGGTTTATGAGGAGCAGGCTTTTCAGGGACAACTGAATCTAGACTTTGTGATTGATTGCAGAGTTCAAAGCCAGGATTAGGGATGTGAGTGCTGCCCCTGCCCTAG